TGTCTTCGACTAGATACAATTTGTGTATTGTTCATAAAAATCGGTCCAGCGAGGTCTGAGATTTAGTGGTAACACATACAAAAAAAAAAAATAAATAAAAAGAAAAACACATAATAGTAAATTTAATAACTTTTCAACTTCGCATCGAAGTTAAAAATTGTAGCCTTACCAGCTATTTATTTTTATTGAATTCAGAAGTGAGTTGAATTGAGAAAATATAAATAAACGCGGACTTATTAAATAGTTTCAAATCATCATAATTTGTATCAGTGATTTGTACTGCTTAAGCCCCAGAGGCTCGGGCCTAGGGCGGCACGATCTGGGAGGGCGGAAAAATATTCACAACAATGAAATTTAAGAGCCGAAGAAATATACCAAAAATTTATTTTTAAATTGGTTCTGATTGTTTTTAATTTATTAAAAGTTTTATTTGGATTATAATATAATTCATTTTGTCATTGACTTTTCAAGTTGAAGGCGCATTATTAATATTGGGATAGAATAAATTATATTTTCCATCGAATAAGGTTATTAAAAAGAAACAATCAAATTGATAATCTTCTTTTGGAATTACTAAATAATATTTTACTTTTGTATCTTTGATGAGATTACTCATTAAGATTACTCTTTTTCAACCTTGAGAAGAGTTAAATCTTAATTACGGGCAAGTCTGGACCAAAATAGACTCAATGTATAAATGCTTTTGCTTGGACAAAAGACAGGAAGAAGAGATTTACAAATTGAGCAATGGATAGTTTGAGAAAAATGTTTATTATTATTATTTGTTATGCTAGAGTTTAATAGAAAATTGTTTGTATTATTTAATGATAATATTTAAATAAAATAAAAGCTATATTTAAAAAACAATTGTGAATTAAAATATATAGAATTTTGTTGATCAAAAAGGGCCTAGGCCAGCAAAAAGCTTAATCCGCCACTGATTTTTATAATTAAATCTCATTAAAGTTATAAAATCAATGAATGTATTATTGAAAATATATATTAAAAAACTTTTGAAAAACTTTAGTTTTGAAAATGCATCAAGTCAATACATTTATCCATCGCATCTAGGTTGTATACCTAGATGTTAATAGTTCTCTAATGAATTGATAAGAAAGTAGAAAAATTTGATGTATAAGTTGATTTAAAATTAAAGTTATTATGTAATAATAATTTTACACACATGAACATCATTGAAATTTTCAAATTTTATGTCAACAGACAAAATTTTTTGACGTATATCCAATATTACATCAGGAAATTTTTCATCTAAATACTCAAGTATAGGACTTTGATGAGTTCCATTAAACTGAGCTTGCTTGCATTTAATATAAATATTATCTCCATTTGAACGTCTAGTGCAAAAATTATGCGATTTCAAATTTGATGCACTAATATCATGTATAATAAAGAATAAACAAGAAATTAATCCTTTAAAGTAATAAGACATGTTTGTATAATTTATGATTCATTTTCAAATAATTTGAATAATCATCTTTGTTTATTTTACTCTGTAGCCATGATTCAAAAATAACAATTTCTGTGTGAAATTCTTAGTTAATAACGGTGTTTACAAGAATTTTACTGGAGAGTTATTTATCAGCCAAATATCAATTCATTTGTAAAAACCAAATAAAATTTAAGCTTTAAAAATATCTTTTCTCTTGCCCTTTTGTAAATAGGTTCGGTTTGAGTTTCCCATCTTCAAGTTTTATAGGATGATACTGATAAAACCTTATGTCTATGAATTGGTAGTATAGGATTACGCAAAATTTTTAACTAGTTATGTTAAAAAGGATTCGTGTAGACCTAAGAAGAAATTTGGCCAAAAAACCATATATCATAACGTGTAAATGCACGTAAGATGTTAGAATTTAGAGAGATCATTTGACCTTGTACCCTAGCTAGATAACAGGGTACTCTAATAAGGCGGCAGATGGAAGAGACGAGTTGACCGAATAAACGTATCGCAAAACATTATGTCATGGATTTAATACAACAAACAGAAAAGTTCAACATTTTAGATAATAATTTTTTGTTAATTTTGAGTAATTACACTTGTCTAAAGGAATTTTCATCAAAGACAAAAATATAATTATCTAAACAATTTTATCAAATCTGTGCAAATCAAATTTTTTCTATCACCTCTAATTTTTGAACTGTTAAAAATAATACATACAAAATTTCAATTTAAAAAGTCATATTTAACATATTTTTTTGGTTCTTTTAAGTTGATTATTTCGAACATTTATAATTAAGAAAATTGAACTTTTTAACGTAATTTCTAGGGTAAATTCCCTAGACCCCCTGAGTACAGTATTGCACATAGTCAACATTTTTTACACAAAATTTTCTATTTTCTAGCCGGGCTATATAGGTATTATAGTTGCATGTTCAGTTTTGCATAATATAGTTCGTTATAGTCAAGACGATCTGGAGTTTGACAGAACTAAGAATATAGATAACATTTCATTTAACAATGATATAATTAATAGTGCTGAAAATGAAATAACGGAAATTATATAATTGATAACCTTGAATGGTTCTTATTTTTATTACTTCATAATATACAAAAGACAATTAGAATTTATGCAATACATAATTTTATAATAATATTTTGCTAGAAAAATTTGTTGAAAAGTTACAAATATCATAAAAAAAATCGAATTAATAGGCCACAACGCCTAAAAAGCATTGAAAAATACAAAATAAAGGTCGCCAATCCACTGGGTGAGACAAGGTACTATAGGACCACAGTAGGTTTTTACAAAAAATAAAATATTGTACATTGAAAGCAATTTAATATAAAAAAATATAAAGATTGTTCCAATATTAAAGTCATTATTAAATTAAATTACTACTAACAATAAGAAATAAAGGGAAATGGTTTTTTATAGTTGAACAGGCCATGATATTACTAAATACTGAGATAGTTATAGACTTAAAAATTAACATAAGTTGTATTTGATATTTGTTGAGTCGTTGATAGTTGATGTATACCAAAACCTTGTGACAGTTATCACCTAACCATATACTAGGAGGAGTTGATTTTTGGAAGGAAAAAAAAATACAAAATACACGAGACAATTGAAGATGAAACACGCAAAAAAAAATAAAATGATGGTAAAGTTAAATTAAAGGGTCTTTATTATAAAAAAAAAAAAATTAATTAACACAAGGCAAAAAATTAGATATTAATAAAAATTATTACACTTACACTTTTTTCCCATCAGCTATAAGCTCAGTATTACCGATAAGGATGGTGGGTATACGCCTCAAGTAAGCGACTGATTTAAGCAGTTAGAATTAGCTTGCAAAACGTAGGGACACCCCGAAATAAAATGCACTACGTCACCATATTGTACTAATAGTATATACTAATCATATATAAAAAATCACAAAAAAACATGACAGGTGGTATTGTAACACGCTTTCCATGTTGAGGGATCTAAAAAAAAGTATAGGGATACCTACAAAAAATTAACAAAACAAATTCGCCAGACGTGATTATGACACGGCACACTAAAATAATATGGCTCAAAACATTTAAAAAAAATATATATATTACCAGGCCCGAAGAGCTAAAGAGTATGAGGCAGACTCAACCGACGCCGAAATACAAAAAAATTACATTATTAATTACAGTAGCGGACTTGCATGAAAAAATATATAAAAAAACTACGATGTTACAGCGCACACAACAAAACAAAAAAAATCACGCTACGGACGAAAATTAACCCATAACCAGTTCCGACAAAACGTCCAACGTTTTATATGTTACAACATATAATTTGACAATCAATCGGTGGTAGGCAGGTATGGACAACACCGATATACCACCCACGCGTGGTAATGTGCTAACGCAGTAGAATGCAAAAACCAAGAGTTAAAAAGTAGTTAAATTAGCCGAACGTCTCGGTAAAGGTGTGTTCTTAACGGACCAGTCCCCCCACCACTAGTAGAATTTTTTTTTGTTGTTTTTCAGCATGACCAACGGCAACAACACCAACAACACCCACCCCTTCGTCGAGGAATTCCGCCATTATGTTGGCCAATTCAAAATGGTCGAATATCTGCCGCAACAATACGCTGCCCAGTCATCTTCGTAACACCAACAAACTATTGTTCGTCCGTTTTGCGAAATATAGTCTCCGTTTTCGTTTCACTATTAGACAGCGACGTTTACATATTGTAAAAAAATATTATTCTTGTTTTTTTTTTGTTTACGAGTTAATTTGAATAAACAGCGTTACGCTATTAAAAAACTATTAAACTGTGGCGTCTTCTTTCTTTTCTTTTATTATTTTGTTCGGCACGTGAACGTAACAGGAGCGTAATGATAGTTGAGGATGTTATGCTGCGTGTGTATTAATCATTCCCATATACCGTTATACTTATCCGTTCACTATTTAATGCTATAAACTACTATAATGTCATAACGTTACAACAAACAGTATCGTATTTACAAATATCTATAGAACATAATACATATAATTTTAAGTGTATAATTTATTTAGTTATCACAACAAATAACATATCATTATGTTTAAAATTATTCTTAAGAACTTAACATGCGTGAAAACGAGGTACGAATTATATTATCTACTTCAAAAGAAATTAGATAATCAATTATCATCTTCATCGTTAGCACAGAAGCAAATCATTAATTAAATTTCATTGCATTTTTTTTAATCGATGCAAATACACAAAATCATCTGTTTATTCTTTCAAACGAATTGTAGGAGTGCAGTAGTTTGTTCGGACAATCCGATTTTATGTAGAGAAATTTGTTGCAGTAAAATTTTTTGTTTAACAAAAATAATACTGTTAGTATAAAATTATTTAATGTAATTAGATATACCGCTTTTTTATGAGAGAAATAAAATTGTTTTATTTAAAAAGAAAAGTATCATATTGTGATATCTGTTATCACAAAGATAATAGTCAAAGTTTTTTTATGTAAAAATGTACAACACGTTACTTTCTTTTGTATAATTCATGTAATTCTTTAGATTATTTAACTCTGTTCAATGTTACACAATCTAATATAAGTGTAATAAAGTATAAAATATTGTTTCGTTTATTCCAGTATATATTAGAATATTACAGTGGTGACGAGGATTTCATTGGATAAAAAACGCGTAAACTAAATTATTAGTGTTCGCTGAAGTTATTATTTTTTTTTTATATATTTTTATTTAATTTTCTTTTGTTACTGCATTGGACCTTGGTATGGCACCAAAAAAGGATCCTACATGTACGGAAAACCCTCCTCAGTCGCATCTGAGTGTAGTTCTGGCGTAAGTAGGATATCTGTCGCTATAGACACGGCGCCTAAGCATAAGATAGGCGAAGATTGGAATTTGTAAATTGAAACAGCCTTTCAATTTACAAATTGATTCAGCCAATCAATTTTTTTCTGTCAAATTTCATTAAAGAATAGCGCAAGTTCCCCGTGCTAACCATAGTTATTGGATCTAAAGCCTATGCGGTGTTACGCGAATTATGTGATCCGGTACTACCGCGCATACTATTTAATATAAAGTTTTATGCAATTTATTGCAAAAAAAGCTTACTATTTTTAGAGAGTGTATTAAATTTTACGATTTAAAAAAAAATATAAGTGAGTGTATGGTATGTACGAATTAAGAAAACAGCTATGACATGTCAATTTGGCGCCAACTTAGTAGAAAAAGTGTAAGACAAGTTTGTCACTGGAATGGTTAAAGGGCATATATTAGTCAGGCTATTTGAAGAAGAGTGTTGAAAAGAGAAGCTGCAGTTGCTCAATCAGGTAATGAATCAATAGTAGTCAATAAATTTCAGCAAGGTTATAAGAGTAAAACCAAGATAGCAAGAGGACATGCCAGTAATAAGAAAAAAAGTTTATAATGGTAATTCTACCTGTAACCATTGCGGTAAGGTTTTATTTATCATCTTTATAAATGTAAGCTTTGTAATAACCATGGACACATAACTATTGTTTGTAAAAATAAAAATAGTTTCAGAAATATAGTATTAAGCAGTATTGATAATAATGACAACAGTAAATTTAGTAAGCTAAATTTCTTTAACATTAGTATGTTAAATTTTGTCCCTCTAAAATTTGTAAAAGTAAGAATTAATAATATTAAGGTTAAAAATGGATATGGATTCTGAGGCAGCCATGTCAGTAATAACAGATAACTTTTTTTTATAATTGGCATTTTACATTTTTTGAAGGTTCAGTTTTAGAACGATTAGGTGACTTCAAGGCAAAAGTTGAATTTAAAGGTAAAACTGTTAATGGAAATTTTGTTGTAATTAAAAGTCGTAAAAGCACATCCTATATTTAGAAGGGATCTTATGAAGTTTTTAATGTATCATTTCAATTGGTGGTGTTATGAGTAATGTTAACAACTTAAATGTAGAAGATAGAGTAGTTCAGTGATGTTTTTGAAAACAAATTAGGGGAGAATAAAAATTTTGAAATCCACTTAGAGATTGAGGATGGAGTTAGCCCATTATTTTGTAAGCTCTGGTTGGATTAGATAAATTAGATGAGGCTAGTGTAATTAAAAAAGTGATGACTGTGTCTGGGGCACACCACTGGAAACGGTGCGATGCGGATGGTAATATATGGCTATGTGCATATTATAAAACAACTAACAATAAGTATATTAATAATGTACATAACACATTCCCAAGAATTGGTGAATTATTCGCTAGTATGCAAGGAGGAAAGAAATTTACTAAATTAGATTTCAAAAAAGCTTACAATCTACTAAAAGTTGATCAGAAAACGAGCAAGTTGTTAGCATAGAGTACACATAAAGGTGTTTATTAGATGTTAAGGTATATGGTATTAAACCTGCCACATCCTGTTTTCAGTGGGAAGTCGAAAAGGTTTTCCAAAACTGTTCTTTCACTGCTTGTTTGTTGTTAATTTGATATTTACTGGTACAAATACTGAAGAACACATAAAAAATGTCATAGAAGTCCTAAAACGTAGTAGGGAAGCTGTTTTCAAGCTGAATAGAAGTAAATGTGAATTTAAGTCAACTGTCAAATATCTTGGTCATAATTGATGAAGAAGGTTTAAAGGCTAAAAGATAAAGTATCAGATATTGTAAAGGTATCAACACCATCAAGCATAACAGAAGTTAAATCCTTCTAAGGTATGATTAATTACTATGGTAAGTTTGTGCCTAATATGTCTGTGATGGTGTCCCGTTACCAACATTATTGTGAGAATTATTATAATAAAATACAAACAGCACATCCGCTTCCTGAGACTGATGAATTAACAAATAATATTTATTGCCAAATTGGCAATAGTTCAAATTATTATAAAAACCCAAAAGACCTGGCCATCTTGATTAGTCGACTCCAGTGCCTTGTGTCATTCATCAGCCTCAGTACTCGATTGTTGCTGTCCAGCTTACTGCTTAAAGTAAAGTCCTTGTGTATTCCTTTTTAACCTATCTACTCAGTACCACAACATTTCAGAGTACTTGTGTCTTGCACTTTGTCTGCACCTCGTACTTCATTATCCTCCTAATAACCAAATTACTTGTGTCTTGCACTTCGTCTGCACCTCATACCTAGGTGTTACCCTTATTCCCTTCCTATAACAACAGCCTTTCGACACCCACAGCTAACCCGGAGGCGTATTTACAAACCCTCTATAGTCCCAGCGCCTGGTCTCAATACGCTATTCTTATTGGTCCGTTTAAAATTAGCGCCAAATATTGTGTTATCATTGCGATAACAGTGTATCACACTATCACTATAACTATCTTTATTTATTATTATTAATTTGAAATAAAACCAATTTCAACATCATTTATAGTGTATATAAATTATATTGAAAAATGAATTGTTCATTATAGAAATACAACTATTTACACAATACAAGTTCTAATAATACAGAAACAAATTAATTTCACTTATACTTTAAATTCAATATTTTTAAAAATATGTAACATAATATTTTGGCTCTTTGGGTAAGTAATTTAATTTTAAATTGGTAGATTTACATATCTTATCACAAATCTTAGTCAATACTTAAGTAAATTTTAATGTTTTTTGGCATTTGGTATATTTTTTAAAATATTTTGACCTAAGTTGTTAACTTTTTTAATTTTCCCTCTAACCATATAGTGTTCAGGTCTCCTTCCTGCTGGAATTCTTTTTGAGCCTCGAGTAATATTACCTTTTCTTCTACTGATAGAAGTAGGCTGGACTCTAATTTTACCTCTTCTGTTTATAGTCCTTGCAGACGTGTTAACAGAATGAATAAAATTTGCAAATTGTTGGTTGGTTTTTATATTTTTTAAATTTTTGGTCAATTTTTGAAGCATAATGGGTGGTAAAGATGGCACCATTTTTTGTAATCTTAACCACTCAGTTTCAGTCTCAGCAATTAACTCTGAACTGTTTGATACATTAGGAACTATTTTTTGAGCACTATTCGAAGGATCTATTATTTCATTACTTGGGTTTTGCTCAATACCATATTTGACATTTGTAATTTCATTGTTAGCTGGTGTATCTGGAAGACATTCTTTTAGACCAAGGAAAAATGCTGCTTCTGGACATTTATCACCCAATGCTAAAAGACCAAGAGCATGACGTTCAATGAGAGAAATAGGTGGTAGGTTAGGTAACTGTATTTTTAAATTTAATGAATCCATGCTTGATGCTTACAAAAAGCTCCAGCACATCCAATTTTGCACGAACAGACACCCAATTCAGTATTTATTATATATACAATTTTTGGATCTGATTCGCTTGGTATAGAAAATGTACAATTATTTAATTGTTTAACATTATCCTTCACAATATGTTCTATTTTAGAGCACAATTTTTTATATAGTCTATGGGATTCAGAATGCCTATCATGTGCATGATCAAGCAAACGTAAAATAAAATAATTTTCACCGACATTAACAATAAAATCAACTAAAGCTACTGCATTATATGCTTTAGTCCTACTAAGAAGTATATCTTTTATAACTCTGATTGACGCTTCTGCATAGTTATTAGTTTCATGATTTCGGTAAAGAATATCTAGTCTATATAATTTAATCCATTGTTCTTTTCTATTATAATTATTTTCAAAACGTTGCACAAAATTGTTATATTTGGTTGACATATTACGAATTTCAGTTATTGAGTTTTCTAAATCATGTGTGTTGTCTGCATACATTACCTTTTATGTAATGATAATTAGTCTTAGACATTTTATTCAAATATAATTATTTATAACAGAATTATGAAATTTACTTTCTGGAACAGTCTCATCAGTGAACAACGATCAGCTAGTTTAATTCCATTTTTGGTATTGTGTAACCAACGCCATTCAGCTTGTGCCATGTGAAAATGACAAAGAAATTGTTTAGCAGAAGGCCATACAGAGTGCAATGAGTTTTTTTCTGCCCTAGAATCGTCACTCATAAAAACCATAGGTGTCTGCATAGGTATATAAAGAACAATATTGTAAATAATTAAATTAAATAATCAACTTATAAACACATTTTCAATGGTATGATTTTTACTACATAATCCATTCTCTAATTAAATTAAAAAAACTTAATTTATAAGTATTTAAGATGTATTATGTAATTTATAGATGTGTTTAAGATTTTTTTTTTATCTTTTTTAAGATTTTTATTTGAGAGTTAAATTATAAAAATATTTTTCTAACTATTTGATATCATGGTTGTTGAGTATATATTGTAATATATATTCAATAATACCATATAAATATTTATATAACTTATTTTAGTAATTTAAAATATTATAGTATTTATTCATTATAGATTTTGCTGTTTAAATTGGAATATTCATAAATAAAAGTTTTATAATCTGTATATAAAACAGTATACAAAATGTCTTACACTGTTGCCCCCAAAACAAAGAGGAAAATTATCTTTCAATAAAGTAAATGCATTTGTGTAACTTCTTTCGGATTCTCCATCATGAATAAGTATTGCTATTGGTATGGCTCCAGCTTTAGATGGTGTTAAAATAACCGTTATGCTATTACTAGTGGTGTCAACACTACTAGTAGAGTCAAGAAAAATAATTTATTGAGAGCATTTAAGTTTTTGAGCTCTTTCCATAATTGGTGTTACTATTAACACTGCCCAAGGAGCTTCTGAATGAATAGCAATTGTAACACCTTCATAAGATCAAAATTATGATGTAAATTAAAATATATTCATAAAACTATTATTATTTTTATGTGCTCAGTAAAATAGTACGTTATAAAACAGATTAACATTTTTTACCTAGGTTTCTATATGATTCTATCTTTTCTTTTAATTTAGTAAGTGGTTCATGAATAGATCCAAAATTTTTTTTTCTCCATTCATCATGCAGATAATATACTTGACGTTTTGTTGGATTTATTGAAGCATTAGCTAACAATGAGCATGAGTTTTGATGAATTATTAGCTTACTTTCATGCAAATGTATAGCCTCACTTGCAGTTAGCCCATCATTAAAATATGACAGAAATGTTTCTTGAGTCTTTAATTGGTATTAAAAAATAATTTTTATGTATAAGTACCCATTTGATAAACTAACTCAAATGTAGTATATATATATATATATACTAACCTCGTTAGGAACTCTGAGCAGTTTCAATGCTCCACATGAATTTATAGGGTGGTTATGGTTATGTTTTAAATGAACTATTGCACAAAGTGGTTGTTCTCTTTTTAGATATTCATCATTTTTTTTTGTATTTTTATTATTTTTTTTAAGTAATATATTCAAAGATGCTTGGCAACTGACATCTCTTTTACTTTTTGAACCATTTGATAGTGTTTTATTCTTTGCTGAATGGTGACATACCCAGTATTTATGAAATATGACCCTATTATGTAAATAATTTAATCAAAATAATTAAAATTATGTTCTTCGTGAGTAATGAACTTTAACTCACACTAATATATTCTTATACACAAAAAGAAATTATTGTAGTTCTACATTTTATAAAATGTACTTCGGTAAATAGTAAATTTAATATAAAATCAGCTAATAACTTAACTGTCATAACCTTAATAATTAATACAGTAATAAAATAACTATATTTATGATTATTAATCTTTAAAACTTTTGATTAATATTAACTATTCAAAACAATTTATTTTAGTGTTTTTTAAACTAATATATAATTATCTAAATCCATACCTAATCATCATAAATATGGATCACCTTTAACAAAATTGTAAATTATTTAAGTAAAAGTATTCAAATGCTTTCATTGGTATTGAAAAGTATTTTAAAATACATTTTATAAAGAGTATTTGAGTATTATTTTAAATATAATTATTTGGAATTTAATTCTAACTGATATTCAGTCTTATTATTATTATTATTATTATTTTTTGCTAACTGTGACCCATTAAGTAAAATAAACTCAGACAAAATCTAAATTGAGAATAATTATCTGTTAACATGATAGACAAGCCCAACAATAACAACTAAAAAAGATTTTAGTTGTTCTGAACAAATTATGATGAATTAATATTTTTTTTTACTGATAAGTGTCCAATATATAATTTTATTTAACTCTAAAAAAAATATTGAAATTATTAAATAAATACTCTCAACTTAAGAGCACTCAATATTTGAATAAATTTATTGTCATATTTATAGTATATTCATATAGTGACTATGCACTTTATTAAAATTAAAACAATATTTATATTTCATTTTTTTTTTGTATTCAAATTTTTTTTTTCAAATATTTGGGTGTTATTTAAAATACATTTTAATAGTATTTTTTACAACTATGACCTTTAACATCTAATTAATTATATATTTATAATTAAGAGGATCATTGACTTGATACATTTAAATTTGCTTACATTTATGATCTAAATGATAGCAGTACAACTTACAAAAATCTTTGTATTGTCATTTAAATTTTGTAAAATACTGAGATACTAATTATTTAATTAATAATACTGTTCTACTCTAAAATACTCTAAACTACGTATTTATTTTTACTTTCAATATTTTGAAACTAATAAACTGAGACCCCAATCAAAAAACTCAATTTAATTGTTATGCATAAGTTTATTAAAAAATTTTTAACATATGAAAAAATAATAAAAAGGTTTTAATAAATGTATGATATAATAACATAACATGATTATAAAGCTTAAGTCTTAAGCTAAAATCAATATCATTCTTACAATGAAATACTTTACATACTTTTGAGGATTTTTTAATTCGAAACTAACAATCCAGTTTGTGTTAGTTGTTATAGAAAACAAATTTACCCACTCAATAGCATCTTCAATATTACTAATGTTTGTTCTTATTATAATATTTTGTTTATCTAAGTCAGATTTAGAGCGATCAATTTCACATATAAAATGTTCATTCATTCTTTTAATTATTTCCTTGAAAGGCATTTTTAATTAATTAGGAGTAAAAGTTCACAATTAAAAACAAATATAAAATTTGCATTATTTAAGTTTGAATCGCAATGATAACACAATATTTGGCGCTAATTTTAAACGGACCAATAAGAATAGCGTATTGAGACCTGGCGCTGGGGCTATAGAGGGTTTGTAAATACGCAACCTGGAGTGTCAGCCGAGCATGGTGATTGCTGTACAACAACACGCACGTGAATACCTAGACAGCAGCCAACACATCCTCATCTTCATCTTCGTACACATTACATTCCATTTCCCACTTATTGTGTTACGACATGTCAAACATATTAGCACCCTTGCATAACCTTTAAAAAAAAAAATACTACATTTTTTTGGACTCGAGCTTGTTCTGAATATTTTGAGAGGATTGAAAATAATCTTATATCAAATAAATTCTTAGTGCATTATAGTTTAGATCTACTTACTATAATTTCGTGTGATACGTCAGTAAGTGTAACGCACAGGTTTCCAAACGGCGATGAAAGGCCTAAAAATTTGGGTCACGCGCACTCACCAAGGCGGAACAAAATTATGCAAGAAAACACAAGGAAGTTCTAGCTTTTGTATGGAAAGTTTCAAAATTTTACAAGTACCTTAAAGAACGAGAGTCCACAATTGTCGTAACACAAAACAAATCCCTAAACAATACTCAAGAGGAAAGGAAAAGGGTAGTGTAGTATGTACAAAAATGATGTTGAGTTTGCTGACTAGATATACCGTGCTTGACTAAAATTCCGGGTTAGCTGTGGGTGTCAAAGATCATTGTATTGGAAAGGAATAGGAGTAACACCGAGATATGAGGTGCAGGCATAATGTTAGACACGAGTACTCTGAAATGTCAAGGACGAGAGTAGGTAGGTAAAAAAAAACAAAGACTTGACTTTAAACAGTAAGCAAGGACAGCGACAACCGAGTACAGAGACTGATAATTGATACAATGGAGTCGCCTGACGACGATGGCCAGGTTATTTGGGTTAAATAGTAATTCGGACGATTGCCAATTTTGCAATAAATATTAATTGTTTACACTAAATATTAATTGTTAATTTATCAAATTCTAGAAACGGATGCGTTGTCTGTATTTTATTGTAATAACTTTTTACAATAATGATAACGTGACACCATCACACAATTAAGTTGGATCATAGACCGTAATTATTACGTTTTATAGAAAACAAACAAATTCCAAAAATAGAATGAGGACGTGTACAAAGGTGGGCATTTTCCTTGTCAGTTTTAAGTATGATATTGAATATATATATCTCCCACATTATCTACGCTCTCATCAATTGTCCTCATATCGCATTCAATAGCATCCTTCCATTTCTTTTTTAGTCTTTCTCTACCTCTTCTTCCTTCAACATTCATTTCTATAACTGTTTTTACAGCTTCCGATTGTACCTCCACATAACATGACCAAACCTTCTAAGTCTATTTTATCTCATCCACGATTGATACTATACCTATACTCACACTTATATGCTCGTTCCTTATTCTGTCTTTTCTAGTCACTCCACTCATCTATCTAAGCATTGTCATCTCTTCTACACTCATTCTCTGCTCTAATTTCTTATCAACAGTCCAACACTCTGAATCATACATTATAGCTGGCCTAATTTTTCTTTCAGCCTCATTGGAATTCTTTTATCGCATAAAACGCCAGACGCTTCTCACCACTTCAACCAACCGCACTTAATTCTATGTCTTACAACCTCGTCAATACCACAGCTTTTTTGCACAACTGACCCTAAATACTTAAAACTCTCCACCGCTCCAATTACGTCCTCACCTATTGTCACTGACCTCACTTCACCTACCTCGTGTTCACCTTTGTCAAACTCGTACTCTATACGAGGTGTGATCAAAAAATACCTGGACTGTGTTAATAATATTTATATCAATTAAGATAACGAAATCCCGATAATTTAATTCGATAAAGTAACTTCTAACGAGAATTTGAGCATTGGTTTGAAATCGATAACAATATTTATTTTTATTTAATGGCATTTTTACGAAAACATGTTTCAGTCATGCGTCGATTTTTGAAATGGAAACAATTGAAGAACAACGTGTGTGTATAAAATTTTGTTTTAAATTAGGGAAAAGTTCTAGTGAAACTTTTAAACTTTTGAAGCAAGCTTTTGGAGATGATGTTCTGTCTCGGACAACATGTTTTGAGTGGTTTAAACGGTTTAAGGAAGGTAGGTCATCCACTAAGGATAACGAACGATCTGGTAGACCATCGACCAGTAAGACGAGGTTTGGTTGGGTTCCTCGTCTCTTAACGAATGAACAAAAACAAATTTGGCTGCGATTCGGCTCATGCCCAATTCTTTGGTTAATATTTTTTGGCAAGAACCATAAGATATTCCGACGTCTTCTGCAACTTCTCTGATAGTTAATCGACGATTATTTCGAATAATTTCACGAACACGAGCAACAATTTCATTTGTTTTACTGGTCGATGGTCTACCAGATCGTTCGTTATCCTTAGTGGATGACCTACCTTCCTTAAACCAACGTCGAAGATGAAATGAATAACCTAAACAATTCAATATCTGAAATTGAAATAAATGAAA